TCTGCGCTTTGATTTTATAATGTTGTTGAACGGCCTTCATTATTCAGTATAACCTCTTTCTGTCACAACGCGGGCACCCAAAAAAAGCCTTGGCGGGCACCGCGTTGGGGACCACTGACTTAGAGCATAGTAATTATTGTATAACAAGCTTAATGTGGCTGTGTACAAGCAGCAGTGAAAGCACCACTGATGGATTAGTACACGCTGCCCCATTTAATGGCGACACGTATCTTAAAAACTAAACATCAGATGATATTTGTTGTTTAACATCTGTTGTGTGTATATTTGTTCAAGGAATTGTACCACACGTAACTTCTGAGCAACTTTTCTTGCCACGTATATCAAAGGAAAATATCAGTATAATGAAACAAATAATCTTTCACTCTGTGTTCCATCTCTGGAAAAGTTAAATGACAAAACTTACCATAGAGTCTGAAGGAAATGGAAGTTTATTTCCATGACCAGTAACTTCTGAGTTATATAACCTGAGATGCTTCTTTACTTTCAGTTTATGTTCATATTCTTCAATCTTCAAGCTCAGTTCCTAAAGAAAACAGCAGTAAGAGATAAGGATATTAATAAGATTGAAATGCATAAATATGTTGTAAGATTTCTAACACGGTCAACTACTCTGGCATATAAAGATTTGGAACTACAATAGTTCACTCTAATAGAGTGCAATTCAAAGTGGGGGCATGTCCATTAGTGAAGTAATGACCACAAGGTGAACAATTACAGAACTTAATTAAGCTGATATGACCATAAATTATTTTATTTGTCACAATGTCCAGTGGCCCTGGAGCCAGCCTCTGTTCTGTCTTTTCCAGAAAACAAAAGTCAGAGCAAGAAGATGCTAACTTCTCACCTCCACCTAATGCCAACGTCTCGCATCAAATATTATTCAAATACTACGAGGCTTGAAACACGAATATGATTGCCCTTTAAATGTGCAAGAAAAGCATGAAAAGATTCAAAATTACTTATCTAATGACAGCGAAAAGTACAGAAACCAATCAAAAGAACTACAACATTTTCAGGAGTTACGACATCCTTGTTCAGAGTTTTCATACCTGGTTCTTTTCACGCAGAATGTTAGAGATGCTACAGTCATCGGAGTACGTATTACTGCCTTCCTGGAGGTCTAAAATTTTGTCTGGAGTTACAGATTCCTTGGAATTCTTTGTCCAGATCCCTAGTTGAGGAAACCCAACATTCGAGAAGTCACTCACCATGACCCTCTCCACATCTTCGTATCGCTTCACAACCTTAAAAATATGAGAAATTTATGAATTTCAATAAAATGAAAGTTTTAAAAATTCCATAACTCCCTTTTTATCAAATGCTAAATATCTTAGTACACATTAACTTTCATAACGCACAATGCATTACCATAATTCTGTTCAAAGTAATGCACAATTAAATTTTACAAAAATTGTAAAACTGGTGCGGGCTTAGGGCTGTAACATTCCAACAGCTTAATATGTAATTATCTGATATGCATACACATATTCCCTGTTGTAAGGTAAAAACTGGTGGTTGTGTTGCTATATGTGAGGTTTTACAAAGATGTGTCTGAAATTAAACCAACAGAACCAACTTTCAAATCCTCTGTTTGTATTTTAATCTTGATAAAAAGCTGGAATATGTGTCGTCATGTCTTTCAACTTTTCCTCATTGACCGGAATAGTCAACTATATTTTACAGGCAAAAATAATGGATTTTATCATGCGCTGAACATACATTCTTTCTGATGATAGTTGAATGAAAGGGCTTCATATATCAATATAAAAATATTTCACCTGTATTTCAGGTGGTTCTTTATTATTAAACTTTAAAACTGTTCCAGTATTAGAAAAAATAGAAAATTATAAAACAAAATGGTTTGAACATGTAGACAGAATGGCAAGAAGCAGGCTACCCAAAATTTTAATAAATTATGTACCAAAAGGAGGTTCGCCACAGTGGTCTAGCGGTCAGAACACTAGCCTTGTAAGCCTGGGGTCCCGGGTTCAATTCCCGGTGGTGCTCAAATTTATAACTTGTGTTGGGCAAGGCCGTGGTCTAAGCATCACGGAGTTTTCCACAGGGGGCTTCCCCGGTTTCTCCGTGGCATCCCAACAATTACTCCACTCACACACAGAAGAAGGCAATGGCAAACCACTTCTGGATCATCTGCCAAGAACGTATATGAACAGGTCCCAGTCCGAGAAAAGGATGGAAGGATCCTGTTCATATGGACCTGTCGTCAGACAGAACAAACAAACAAAGAAGTGTACTTATTATCTGGCATCCTTGTGACTGACTCGGGCTTAACTCTGCGGCCAACAAATGGCCTTACTCCATGAAAGCTACATGATGATGAAAACTGTTCCAGAGGTGTACTATAATGATATCTGTCTTCATTCATGATACTTTCTTGAAGAGAATATAAGTCCCTAAAGACTTCCCACTTCATTTTGGGTTTGTTTTGTATGTCTCTTTGAGGTGTGAAACTCATTCTTTAGGTTTATACACAAAACATTTACAATTTCTGACATATTTCTTGGTGCAGGCAGAATCTCAGAGTTGGCTTGTGTGGCCAACCTGACAGGATCAATGTTCTACCGATCTGAAAACGTTTCGGGTTAACAGTGACCAACTGATGTAATGGCCTAATGGCCCAGTAATCCCTGGACCCTGCAGTTAACACTAATAATGTAAGACTTGAGGTTCTCACAGCGGTGAGTATGAAGATTTCTGTCTTCTGGGTTATTGCGCTGTGTAGTCTGGTCGATGGTAACCAACGTTTCAGAGGTCATACTGCCTCCGTCATCAGGGCCCTGAAACGTTGGTTAACATCGACTAGACTACACAGCGCAACAACCCAGAAGACAGAAATCTTCAACACTAATAATGTTTAAGTTACCAGCATTTGGTTTTCCAAATACTAAAGTATTTGGAAAACCAAATGCTGGTAACTTAAACATTATTAGTGTTGAAGATTTCTGTCTTCTGGGTTATTGCGCTGTGTAGTCTGGTCGATGGTAACCAACGTTTCAGAGGTCATACTGCCTCCGTCATCAGGGCCCTGAAACGTTGGTTAACATCGACTAGACTACACAGCGCAACAACCCAGAAGACAGAAATCTTCAACACTAATAATGTTTAAGTTACCAGCATTTGGTTTTCCAAATACTAAAGTATTTGGAAAACCAAATGCTGGTAACTTAAACATTATTAGTGTTGAAGATTTCTGTCTTCTGGGTTATTGCGCTGTGTAGTCTGGTCGATGGTAACCAACGTTTCAGAGGTCATACTGCCTCCGTCATCAGGGCCCTGAAACGTTGGTTAACATCGACTAGACTACACAGCGCAACAACCCAGAAGACAGAAATCTTCAACACTAATAATGTTTAAGTTACCAGCATTTGGTTTTCCAAATACTAAAGTATTTGGAAAACCAAATGCTGGTAACTTAAACATTATTAGTGTTGAAGATTTCTGTCTTCTGGGTTATTGCGCTGTGTAGTCTGGTCGATGGTAACCAACGTTTCAGAGGTCATACTGCCTCCGTCATCAGGGCCCTGAAACGTTGGTTAACATCGACTAGACTACACAGCGCAACAACCCAGAAGACAGAAATCTTCATATTCATCGCCCTGATGACGGAGGCAGTATGACCTCTGAAACGTTGGTAAACATCGACCAGACTACACAGCGCAATAACCCAGAAGACAGAAATCTTCAACACTAATAATGTTTAAGTTACCAGCATTTGGTTTTCCAAATACTAAAGTATTTGGAAAACCAATGGAATTTCATGTCGTGACTAATAACGACATAGTCTCATGCCCTTCAGAACTTCTATTTTGGTCTCTATTTGCTGAAGAAGCAAACATCTGCTTCCAGCTAATTGCCATTTCTTTTGGCATAGGTCTGTGTCATACAACGACGAGTACCTACGACGTCAACGTGAGAAGAACTTCACCTCACTGTGGTTTGTATGTTCCTATAATTGTAAACTATAAGCAAAAGTCAATTTTGGAAAAGTGTGGCTATGGTCTTTATCACTCTCACCCTTCAATTTCGAGCCACAGTCCACAAATATGTGTCTTGGTTTCTAGGAATCCTTCAAAGGATTAGACAGGATTGCTTGTGATACTGAGGAAACAATGATAGAAACAAATTACTTATTCTGAAAACAATATATTCTGTGGCACTAAGATGTTATTAGGCAGACACGAAATTATGCCATATCACATACCTTCAATCCTCTTTTCCTAGACAAAATTATAATTCCATTCTCAGATCTAATAATGTAAAATATGTTGCACTGAAAGTCATATGATGTGAAAATTGTTATACTCTTTGGATTGAAGCATGAGATGGGGCAGATGCCGACGATCTTACGATCACAGAATTCCAAGACTTCGCCATGAGATGTACAAATAACAATTTCTACACCAGAACCTGGAAAGGATGAAAATCAAAGTACAATCACATTTCATGACATGGAGCTTTGTATCCTTGCCCCTTACACAATTCATTGTGCGACGCCAAAGACAGGAGTAAATTTGGTAGGGTTTCGATGCTTTCGCGGCCGTAAGTCCGAAGATAACTGTCTTCTGGGTTGTTGCGCCGCGTAGTCCGGTAGAAGTTTACAAACATTTCAGAGGTCCTTGCTGCCTCCATTGCCCTCATCACAGAGGCAGCAAGGACCTCTGAAACAATGGTAACCTCCTAACGGACTACAAAGTGCTACAACCCAGACAACAGCCATCTTAAGAGTAAATTTTATGTTATTGGAACCTTAGACAAGGATACTGAATAGTGGAAAAACATTTTACAGACTGAAAATGAAATTCTGGCCCTCAAAGACATGGTAAAGCCAACAGCAGAGATTTAAAACTGAGATCACAAGGGATTAACACTACCTCTGTAACATCTATCCACCTTTATCACTGTTATATTTATACAGAAGAAATGGATATGGACAGATGGATTTTGTAGTATAAATAACAATATACAACATGAAAATCAACTTAATTAAGGTCAAAAGGAAGTCTTCTCATTCTAACCTTTGACTTTTCATGTTCAGAATTATCTTAAATTTGCACACAACAAAATACAGGACCTTCACATTAGCACTAAAAATTTGAATTGTCCATGCATGGAATTAGGAAAATTACACATTCCTCCTCATGGATGGAAATGCCGAAAAGATTTTTTGTGAAATGTTCAGCTTGAGTATCACAAAACAGTTTCATTTACAGTTAAATTATTATATATTTTACAACTCTCTTCTTTACATTCAAAAACATCATTACATTCTGGTAAGTCATGTACGTTCAGTATCAAATTTAATGAACATAAATTCTTTATACTGAGTTTCCAGTGACTACGTCAGTACTTCATGATCTCATTCCTTGGTCATTCCCAGTCAAAAATATCATTTGAACGAGATCCGATTCTCAACAGCTACACAGCTGTGGACATTTTAAATTGAAGATGATCTGAACTGTATGCAAAACATCATGTTCATTCCTGCATCTTGCAGGAATGACCCCATGAATAAGATCCTGAAGGGCTGACATAAAGTCATTTTTTGTGTAACATCTGCTATAAAGCCTGTAAATATTATTTAAAGTACTTGTTACCTTTAAAGACAGTGCTAAAAATATATCATTTATAGCTACATTATGAGTGGATGATAAAACGTGGACTAGATTTTCTTGATGCATTTAAAAAAGCTTATAATCATCCACAATTTACCATAATTCCTACTCTTTCTGTTGGCTTGATTTTCATTATTTTGTGTGGTATTTGATACAGAATTTTCTGAATGACAAAATGAAAAGGATGTGGATGGAAGCAGACACGACTTCCTTTAAGATACTATAACAGCATTCGCCTGGCATGACTAAGAAACACATTATCAGTCATATCAGCCCCCAAGATCCACATTAAAATGTGACATGCATATGAAGCAGCAGTGACATAACCTCTACACCACAAAGTCTGAAAAACTGACCTGTCAGTATGGTCGAAAAACGATCACACAATGAAGTACTTGGTTTCATGTGACATGAAATATTGAATTCAATTACAATATTACTATTTTCACTTTCTCTATCACGCCACACTTCATTTGTTAAACAATATCATCACTGTGTTTTATATTACAAACATTCGATGTAAAATGTTCTTAAGAAATCAAAACCAATTCTCCCGTCTCGTTTCTACTGATATTACGAGAAAGTTTACTGATAGTTGGATGTATCGAATCAATGCCCATATGATCCAAAACGTCAATTTACCACTTTCATCTGAAACACCAACAATTAACCGAGTACAAGGCACAAAACGTGCAACCACTTTGCTTGCGTCAGAATCGAGTACATTACAATTTAATACGGCCGTACACAAAACTGGAAGTTCATCTCTTCCTGACTTCCTAACTTACACCTGGGAATAAAATACGAGTCCACCTGTGAGTTACAGGTTAATTTGATCCAAATCGTCTGAAAAACCATACTCACATCTGGATATATGCTTCTTTACAACACTATAACATTTCGTTATGGTTACGTACAATGACGGAATAAGTGTTTCCCAAAATTCCGTTGCCTCCATTACTACAAACACAAACCAGAAAAATGATGCTATTCTTTTTTTTTAGGTGTTTACAATGTTGTGCCACTAACTCATCACCCCCACGCACTTTAAAGACTTAAACCAGCATTCCACTCGCGCGGAAAAAGCCATATATTCTTATTACTTGGGGTCTCAGATAACAAACATGCACAGATTAACCGTGTGAGGCACAGATAGTTAGTAAAGCTTCCAAAGATGACTCCGACCTAAATCCAGTACTAGAAACTGACAACCACAGAGAATATAGGTAATCAACGCGGCATATGACGTCACCCACAATATGCAAAATTATATTGGGGAGGCTAATAAATCCTTCGGAATGTTGACAGATCTGAAGAGACGAGGTACATATGCTAGAATAGAGGAATGACGCTCAGGATAGAAATGCTTGGAGCGCTAAGTTCCGCTGATACCTGTCTGCGGACAGACACACGATGATGACGAAATCAGTTTACGGCGGTTAAAACGAAACAATGGAATGTAACAATGGGAAGTAGCTTTGTTGCGCTTTGCAACTGTAAATCAACAACTTCGTTTCCATTGACACACTCAGTCAACAACAACTCTCAGTCAAAATGGATAACGTGCCAGAAGGCTCCAGTATTTTGGAGAAAATAAAACGAACCAGAATTTACATAATTTTATCTTCTATTTGGAATTCAATACGCGAATGGTTCATACGATTAATCAGGAGTCGGGTAAGTAACAAAATATGATTAGACTTCGGATGTAATAAGAAATTTTGTAGAATTCCTGACGAAAGCTAAGCTGCCTGTTTGAACAAAAGACAGACGTGTATAAAATCCGTGTTCAGGGTCACGACTCCAAGTAACAAGACTGCAAAGCTGCATTTTATAACGGAACACGCAGTTTTCGAGTTAATTCTTCGCACATTTTCGTCCCGAGTTCTCTTAGCTGACGTAATAAAAGTATTTATCGTTCCATGCACCCGAGACGAACCTTGCCCCTGAGTTAAATGCAGCAGCTATTTCCGAAAATACATTTTTTAATACGTGTTACGTGTATTATATACTTTTATTGTTAGAGATGACTACAAATTTTACGACAGCGTCTTTCAAATGACGTATGATGATTCTAGAATGGCAGTTTTCTGAAGTTCCCTGATGTGTTCGCCCAGAATGTTGGCCAAATATTTTCTAAGTGAGGCGTGGGCCTTCTGTCGCTCGGACCGTGGGTTCGAATCCCACTCAAGCCATGGATATAATAATAATAATAATAATAATAATAATAATAATTCAATTCATTTATTAGATTGCTTGGCAACAGCCAAGCACTAACAATAAACATAACAATACAAAAACAAACAAACAATGGACTAAATATATAAATGTACAATATAATAATGATAATATATCAATTCATTAATTTATTTAAAATAATTAACAGTAAATGAGCTAAATAATATACCTAAAAGTGAAACATTAAAATACAAAAAAAACTAATTATATAAATGTACAAATAATTCAATTCATTTCAACAAGCAAATGAGCTAAATAATATGCCTAAATATATAATAATTAAATTAAAATCAGTTCAATTATAAACAATACATACAAAATGAAAAACCAAAATATGGATAAAATACAATAATTTCCTCAGTTCAACTGTTCATTACAGGTAAATTGGCTAGATAAAATGCCTAAGGAAAATATTCTCCTTGTTAACAGACTGCATTGGCAGGAGAAACAAAGGACTGGCCTTAAAACTGCGATGAACGAAAAACGTGAAGTAATAATAATAATAATAATAATAATAATAATAATAATAAATGTAACACGTATTAAAAAATGTATTTCAGAAATAGCTGCTGCACTGTGTACCTCAGGGGCAAGGTTTGTAAATACTCTGTAAAATGGTGAATAGATGGAATAATAATGAAAATAAAAGATACTCAGTATGTGAAATTCGTGTCTAGGCCCATCTTTTTGTTAAATAAAAATACAGCAGTCGTCATGTATAAATTAGAAATAAGACGTCTTCAACTGTCATATTTCTTAGGGGTTACAATTGTAAATTTACACAAAGTACAAAAATGTTCTATCGCATTAAAATGCGTATATTATGTGACTTTGTGTGTTTAGGTCAGCGGTTAATACAAATCAGTTAGTGATTTCCCCTAATTGCATTCCTTGTCTACAGCAAAACAATTAATTGCTCACGATTCCTTACAGAATTCTTTTTTTTTGGGGGGGGGGGGGTGTCAGCGACCTTAATATTTTGGAAGGTCTAGAAATTGTATAAATCGTTGTAACAATCACTGAGATGATAAATAAAAACACCATTTTAACTAGAAAACCGAAAAGTCCATGATGGCAGGATAATATTAAAATGACACTCAGTTAAGTTTGGAGAGTCTGGTAAATTGGATTCATCTGCCTCCTATTAGGGACCATTGGAGGGCTCTTCTGAACACTGCAATTGACCTTAAGGTTCCATAAATGTCGAAAAATTTATGAATCGGCTAAGTGTACTCTTAGCTTCTGACCAAGGACTCTGCCCCATGGAGTTATTTGGTTAGTAAGAAATTCTGCATAAAGCTGAAAAATACTTCATGTAAAATATAGTTTATATTTGATCCACGCGAGACAAATAGAAATTTGGCAGCTTCTTACAATGTAGACGCTTCAAACCAAATTTAATCCAAATCCGTTGTTATTTTAAAGATACAACACCCTGAGAGATACAAAGTAAAATTTTTGTAAGTGTTTTTCGCTACTGAGGGGCACGACCATTCGTTCGATATCCACCGGACGGGTTTGGATCATATTTGATGTAGAGGATCAGCTATTCTCAACGACCTCCAAATCGTACTTTTGAATATCATATGAAATTTCGTAAGGTAGACAATGAGGTGCTGCGATCTGGTGCCAAAGTGGCAACTATCAAACAAGGTAAATTGAATGCCCCTAAATGCACGTTGATAAGAACATATGAGGATATTATGTGTATTCCAGCACGGAACACACTTTTCGAGCTTAACTTTGCAATGTTTAAGTATCTACAATGCACCACGAGGATTTTGAAACTTTGAAAGTGCGATGGTGAGACACGGAATGTCAGTGTCTAATGCGCCTATTATATCTTTCTTTTCAGGATCAAGCGAGCCCTGGCAAATCCCGCCAGAAATTCCGAGGTGGCCAAGAAAATCAGGGCTCCCAGGAATCTCACGGCAGCCGGGAAGGTCGGTATGATCAGGAACCTGCGGACGGACGGAAAATTCAGGGCGGCAAGACGCCCGAAGCGGCCAGGAAGCCCAGGCCGTTCAGGCCAAGGAAGTCGCGTACAAACAGAAGCCTACCAGGAAGCACACGAGTGCCAGGAACTCAAGGCGTCCAGGATACCCAGAGCGGCCAGGAAGCTCAGGGCGGGCAGGAAGCTCAGGGCGGGCAGGAAGCTCAGGGCGGGCAGGAAGCTCAGACCGACCAGGAAGCTCAGGGCGGCCAGGAAGCTCAGACCGACCAGGAAGCTCAGGGCGGCCAGGAAGCTCAGAGCGACCAGGAAGCTCAGGGCGGCCAGGAAGCTCAGAGCGACCAGGAAGCTCAGGGCGGCCAGGAAGCTCAGACCGACCAGGAAGCTCAGGGCGGCCAGGAAGCTCAGGGCGGCCAGAAAGCTCAGGGCGGCCAAGCTCAGGGCGGCCAGGAAGCTCAGACCGACCAGGAAGCTCAGGGCGGCCAGGAAGCCCAGACCGACCAGGAAGCTCAGGGCAGCCAGGGCTACGGTGAGTTAGGATTTTTGTACATATAACATAAAACTTATGCCAAGAGACCTGCATAACAGGATGTCATGCTTGTAAAATAAAGGTATTCTACCTTAGATCATGCCTGTAATTATGATACTTTGTTACAGTTGAACCTTCAGGACCCCACCTTCCAAGACTGGAGGATTTTAAGGCAGTAAAACTTCTAGGAACGGGAGGTAAATATAACTTTCTGTTGATACTTCGAAAGTCAGCTGTTCATTTCTCTGTTTGTAAAACATGGGCCTTCTCTAGACAGGTTGGCAAAACTGCAGTAAAATTGGTAACAGCAACAGCTGCTCTGGAAACAAGAAACGTTTAAGAGTTCTCACGGCGAAGACAAACAGACATCTAAAAGTGTGTCGCTTAACCCCAGCTTATTATAACTGTAGAAACATACAACATTTTAAACATCAGTTTTGAGGTTTTCACAGAGGTGAGTATGAAGATTTCTGTCTTCTGGTTTGTTGCGCTGTGTAGTCTGGTCGATGTTTACCAACGTTTCAGAGGTCATACTGCCTCCGTCATCAGGGCGATATTTGAGGTTTTCACAGCGGTGAGTCTGAAGATTTCTGTCCATCTGGACAACTACCATACTACACGGTGTAACAACCCAGAAGACACCAATTTTCATCAGTTACAAGTGTCACCGCATTCAAACATCTGTAACAACGGACAATGGATATCCAGTCATAACCTTCTTGATTTCAAAGAATGAATTCTTGAAGATTTTTGCAAATATCCAAGTACTTTTCAAGCCTAGGACAATCTACATCTTTTGCCAACAATATTATTCTTTGTCTGATGGCTGACATTGTTCTTGAATATCTTCTGGAAAAATTGGATTGGCAATAACAAGCCGGAACCAACCGCTGTCTGTTTCATGATGGAGTAGGCATGTCGGAAAATTCCTAACCTTAGCACCAAGGGCATGTAACCACAATGACCCCGTTCAATCCTCAAGGATTCATTTAAGGCCATACACACTAATGCAATTTTTAAGCAAGCAAACGATAAGGAGACAAATATTATCAGTATCTTTTATCACGTATGTATTTCAGTCGAACTTCTAATTAATCAAATCGTGGATAGATTTCGTAAGTTTGTATGACTGGGTTAAAGGTCCTCCAAAGAAGATTCTTGAACAGGAGGCCTATAAAGAAAGTGGTAGATAAATATTTTTTTCGAATTATAGTCTTAATGAAGGAAGATTCTACTAATATCAAAGATTATTGTTGAGAAGATAGCAAAATGAAACATGACTGGGTGCTGTTACAGAATTTGGTAAGGTCGTCTTAGTTCGGAAGACCGGAGGTTTCGATGACGGGACGTTATACGCCATGAAGTTGATGGACAAGGAGAAGGTGCTAAAAGACGGTCCGGAGTTAGCAATGATGGAGCGACGTATACATATCAAATGCAATGGCTACCCATTTCTGGCGGGGCTGAAATATGCTCTTCAATCAGTATCGAAGCTGTACTTGGTGCTAGGTGAGTACATCAAAAACTATTCCTGATTTTGCGATGTAGGAGGGTCGATTAGTGGCGACTGACAGAACAGAAAACTTAACACAGCACTTACATTATTTTATATACATGTATATTATGGTAAGGAATATCTTTGAAGATTTCTGTCTTCATCGCCCTGATGACGGAGGCAGTATGACCTCTGAGACGTTGGTTAACATCTACCTGACTACACAGCGCAACAACCCAGAAGATAGAAATCTTCATACTCTGATGACGGA